CACAAGTAAATCTGAGGAATCACCTGACATCTTGCTGTTTCTGTAGCTGGACAACTTAGATCTCATTCATCAGCCTGCTGTACCGTTCCTTTTCCAGAAACATAGATACCATCTAAAATGTTTCTGATATCTGTGTTTTTAACTTTGTGGCTTGCTGAATCAAAGCAGCTGAATTTGATACGAGTTCAATGTCGTTTCCTTCAAGAATTAACTCATCTTAAAAAAAATAATTAACTCATCTTTCTGGACTTGAGATACTGAATGAGCAACGCCTGACCTCATCTGAAATTTCAGATTTCCACAAGAGACCCATTTTCCTGGATAACGACATTGATGAGGAAGTGAGCACATACAGACCTCATCTTGTAAATCCAGTGTACTACCCTTGACCGTGTTCTGTATATTACTAGAGATAGTGCCAACAGTAGCCAGTTCCTTTTTAGTTCCCCACCACTTGTCAATCCGGAGTCTCTTCTTTTCCTGTCCAAAGGGACTGAGTTCTACACTGATATAATTGAAGTCCTTCCACAGGGTTCCTCTGGGACCCTTCACAATAACTATGAGGTTGACATTTTCTGGAATGTCAACATGCTGGTCTTCATTCCCCCCCAAAATTTCCAAAAAGGAAAATGGTGTACTATTCTATGTTGCATTTCTTTTTTTAATATATTTTTATTGATTTCATCCCCCAAAATTTCCAAAAAGGAAAATGGCGTACTATTCTATGTTGCATTTCTTTTTTTAACATTTTTTTATTGATTTCAGAGAGGAAGGAAGGAAAGATAGAAAGATCAATGATGAGAGAGAATCATTGATCGGCTGCCTCCTGCATGCCCCACAATGGGGATTGATCCCACAACCTGGGCATGTGCCCTGATGAGAAATTGAACTGTGACCTCCTGGTTCATAGGTCAATGCTCAACCACTGAGCCACGCTGGCCAAGTGTTGTTGCGTTTCTTTAATTATTACTGAGGTGGAGAACGGTACCACTTGATTATTTGCCAGGATCTCTGACATGCCTTCCTTTTTTCCTTATGGATTCTTTATTCTTCTTTGATGGTTTGGACGCGTTATCTTCATGTTACAGATCCTGCAAGCCTTTTCCCAGTCTATTTTGACATTATGTATAATCAAAAGTTTTCTGAGTTCTCACACCATTCCCAGAAGAGTTCCTGGAATGGAAATAAGGGCACAGAAGAAAGAGGTGAGGCTGGGAGAGCTGGACCGATGGGAAAGGGAGAGCCCACTGTCTGGAGAGATGGCAGCTGTGGTAATGGAGGTATCTCCACAAGGGCACCAGGAATCTGCGCATGCCTAGACGTAAGGACTGGGCCTCCAGCTCCAGCCTCCTTCCTCCAGCTTCCCTGGACCATACTGCCACCCCATCAAACAGTCCCATGGCCCCCAAAACTGGAGGAGCTGGTCCGGTGTCCAGGGGATCGGGGAGGCTGTCTCTGAGCTGGGAGAAGGCCCAGAATTGGAGGAATCCACCATTCCCCAACTACCTCTCTGGGCCCACTTCCTGCTAGCAACTTTCACAATAGCGTTCACTGTTTATTTTTCAGGCTCAGTGGTTAATCTCTTTTCATCATAGCTCGCCTTGGAATCCATGGGAGATGAAAGATCACCAGGGTGCCAGCACACCGGGGCTCGGATACATTGCTTCCCAGGCTGCCCTCACAGGACTCAGGTGCAGGA